GGGGGGCGCTAGCTTCGCATCTCCCTGGTCTGCTGGGGGGAAGCAGCTAGTGCAGGGTTGCCTCACCCCGTTTGTAAGTAGGGATCCGATGCAAGTCGGATCCATGTAACCCGGGGACTGGCTGTACACATGATTGGCGGTCACCACGGGTATTGGTCATGTGTCCACATGTGACATGTTTACAGACAAGCCTGTCATGCCCAGGGTACAAACTCAAGTTACACATTAGACATGGCTTCTATAAGGCCACAGTTTGGTGTTGTGCCCGGTGTTAACCGTCCAGAGCTCCTGGATTAACTAGCATCCTAGCTAGGAAAGATGTTAAGCAGAACTGAATATGTGGCTACAAAGAGCTTGGTATGCCACCTGGAGTCCCAGTCAAGAACCACATTCTGAACACCAATGGCAGATCCACCAGTTACCAAAGGAGGGACCTCAGACAAAGCCAGGAGTCAGTTTATAGTCTAGCGGGATTAAAATGGGAGCTCTCACACAAATCCAAGACCAGGTATTCACTGAACTGTTAGCAGCTTTGCTTACTTTTTAATAACTGTGGGCTCTTCTAAAGCCAGGCTGCTCAAGCAAGCTGATGTGTGGATGTAGTCATCTGCAACATCTGCAGGAACAAGGACAGGGCTTTCAGTTTGGTCTCCAAGCAACACAGACAATTTACATAGAAAAAGTTTGTTAAAGGTTCACTTTTATGTGATCTTGTCATCTTATCTGCTTTTGCACATGAATCCTTGATCCTGTTGTAGTAGTTTATGAGAAAGGTCTTCTCTTGCTCAAAGAAGTCATCTACCTCCTGAAAGAGAATACGATTGGTCAGAGCTGCACTAAGAGGATTAGCATCTCCTTCAGTTACAAGGAGATCTTAAACTTTGCTCCTATGTAATGCATCTCGTCAGGTAGGACTCCCCTATACCATGAAGGGGAGGCTACACAGTGAAACCAGCCAAAGCTACAAGTTTCCTCTTTTCGATAAGGTGATGGAGTCCTTAGTCCAGTGCACTGAATTTTAACTTTCCTTTTGATGTGCCTCTCTATAACTTGGGTTGCTACTAGAGAGCCCTGTGGTGTAATGGGCTGCAAGTTAAGTGATGTTGCACAAGCCTCATTCCCCAGGCCAGGGCCATGTGATGGGTAGCCGTTTTAAAGAGCCCAGAGTGCAGAAGTTATGGTTGCAGTTATAGAATGTAGTGTAAAAATTAGTGTTTTGCTACGTATTTAGTGCAGCCAAATTCATCAACATGGTAATCCACTTGACTTTAGTGTCTTCTGCTTGTGTGTTCAAAGTAAAAGGTGGTAACTGGAAAAAAACCAAAAACTTTTACATTCATCTCTTCAACAGTGCAGCTGCAACATGTGATGCACCTGCAAATTAGTGCAAGCTGTTGAGAGAGATCAGGAAAGTCCAGGTAAATGGACTCCATTTCTAGGATTTAGTTTAACACAGCTCTGCTCAAGGAGCTTGGCTTGTTTACCTTAACCAAAAGAAGGCTGTGGGGGGGACAAGATTGCACTCTTCAAATATATTAGAGGGATAAATACCAGGGAGGGAGAGAAATTATTTAAGCTCAATACCAATGTGGACACAAGAACAAATGGATATAAGCTGGCCAGTAGGAAGTTTAGACTGGAGATTAGACAAAGGTTTCTAACCATTAGAGGAGTGAGGTTCTGGAATGGCCTTCCAAGGGAAGTAATGGGGGAAAAAAGATCTGGCTTCAAGATTAAACTAGATGGGTTTATGAAGGGAATGGTTTGATGAGATAACATGATCTTGGTAACTAATTGACCATTCATTATCAGTGGTAAATAGGTCAATGGAAGGACGATAGGAGTCACTAGAGAACTTTCTGGGTGTCTGGAAGGTGAGTCTTGCCCACATGCTCAGGGTTTAGCTGATCGGCATATTTGGGGTCGGGAAGGAATTTTCCTCCAGGGTAGATTGGCAGAGGCCCTGAAGGTTTTTCGCCTTCCTCTGTAGCATGGGGTACAGATCACAGCTGGAGGATTCTCTGCATCTTGGGGTCTTCAAAGTATTTGAAGGCTTCAATATGTGAGATATAGGTGAGAGGATTATTCTAGGAGGGATGGGTGAGATTGTGGCCTGCACTGTGCAGGGGGTCAGACTAGATGATCATAATGGTCCCCTCTGACCTTAAAGTCTATGCTACTACGTGCAGTCCCGGCAGTCAGCACCTCCTCTACCTATGAAAACTAATCCTCTTTGTAGTGATCTCTGTACAGTCAGGGGTTGGCCTATTAGATCCGATTTTATACCATTTCTTATGAAAAGCTTAGGCTTTGGGAAGTTATGCTCTGCTGAAGGTGGAGTGGCCAGTCTCCAAAGGTTTCACTCAATGCTTTAGTCAAATTGTTCCAGTGGGATGATGCTATTGTGTTATGGCAGGACAGGGCTGTCCCTCCAGTACCAGGTCAACCCCACACAGGGTTTTGCAAATGAAGACTATTCTTGAATGAGCTGTTTCATGGGTAGCTGTTTATTCAGATGCAGGGAGTCCAGGTGAATAGGTTTCAGACCATCTTAATCCAATTCTTTAAGAGGCCAAACAGTACCACCCTGTCTTTCCAGGACTTCAGCTGGCTGTACATACAGGGGCAACATCTCAGCCAGAATGCAGGCTAGCTAGGATATGGTCCTACAAGCTTGCGATGTAAAGGTGATACAGTCAGTGCCCACTGTGTTGCTGTCATTGGAGGCTGCTATTCATCTCAGTGGCTCCATATACATGTTGAAATTCTTCAGAGTCTGCTCTTGGAGAAGAGCAGGTGACCATCACAAGGGTCACCTGCATGCCGAGGGGGGACTAAAGCCATCCAGAATCATCCCCCAGGCTCCTACTACATTCAAGGTGGGACAGGACTTCGTGGCAGGCTCTATTTAATGCTGGACTTCTCCATAGCAACTGAGTGCTACCAAATGGCCTTCGGACAAGGCCAACAGAAGATCGGTGCCACCAATGTAATTTGTTCCCAGTCAGACTCGGCTGGCAGTGAGATTCTGGCATAACGGTAGCAGTTTACTGGCAAATTGGAGATTGCCCTTAGAGAATTCGATATTGGGCTGTACCTAGAGATTGAGCTGAGTTACATTGCAATACTGGCTGGTGTTCCTAAAGCTTGGGGAGGGAGGTTCTCCTTCTCAAAGTCCTAATACTTCCTTCAGCATGAGGAAAGGAGTTCACACCAGTGCCTAGCACCAAAAGGAGTTTCTTGCATGCTGACAAGCGTTCCCTGAGATGATGCCCAAGAGCCCTTCAGTAGGACATCTTGATTTCTGGAGCTGAGGGGAGGCATTTTAGTAGTAGCAGTAGACAATAGTTGGTCTGAGCCGACCATCACATTTTTGCCCAAGAGTTAAATAAACTGTCATGAATGTCATTAGCAGGTATTTCTAGGTGACTCCTCAGTGTACTGAAACTTCAGATGTCCTGAAAGAAGAAACAAGTACTTGGATGGGCTCCAATACCCAACCCCAGCTTGCTAGCCATGTACCTTCTCTACACAGGTAGGTTTTACCTATTCAGAAACAAGCAAGGGCTCATTAACTCTACAACAGAGGAGCTTAACTGATCTTCAGATATAGTAGATACGAGGTAGGCAAGTTATTGAGTAACAAGAGTTAATGAGAACTAGGCGTAATCTGCATCAGGAACAAAGTAAAGCTACATCAAGCAAGAGAAAAAAGTCTTATGATTGTCGGAAGTGAGAAAAAAATATCCTTACCTTAACTCCAGAAAAGAGGACTTCATCAGCACTCTTCACCATGCTTTTTAAAAAGCCACCAAACATCTCTTTTGTATTTTTTCTCCGAACACTTAGCTAAAAACAATCAAAAAGGCAGCTTTAGGGGAGTATGAAGTAGTTCAAAGGCAAGCTTCAAGTTTAATATGGCTTTGGTGTTTTGACTGCACCATGCAAAGTGATGTTTGGACTGCACTAAGTTATTAAATTGCAAGTTTCCACTAGAATTCCTGTTTTCAAGTTGTAGTGCCAGAGATCTATTTGCAAGGAAGGGACTATTGCTGGATACATGGGGAGTTAACTAGTCTGTGCTGAAATCATTTGTGAACAGGGGTGTTGTGACTACCTTTTCCACCACTCCAAGAGCATTCAAAAAAATCCATGTAGTTTAGTCCCTCAGAATAAAGATGAAACACACCAAGCAGAGCCGCTGTGTAATGTTACACAGCAGCCCCTTCGGTTGGGGGACTGACACTGGGTTTGAGGTGCACAGGCTTTTCCAAAAAAGCTGAATTTCATCAGGGTAGATTAAAAACAAACACTTTGTTTTCTAAATCTTTAAGTACATTTTCTTTAAAAAAATAAATCCTATTTAAAATTAATTCTAAAATTGACAACCTATGTTAAGGCCTATAATTACTGTAAAACTTTGAAACAAAGAATATTTGCCAAGTGCTTGCTGAAGTTCAAAAAAGGTCACTGGGCTAAGCCAGCTTAATAGTAGCCTCTTCTGTGCAGCGAGATTGTTTTCTTAATTTTTGTATATTTTCTTCATTTTTGTATATTTAACTAGTTCAATTCACTAACTAGTTATTCGAAGTGGAGAAACCAAGAGAGGGTTGGAAGAGCAAGAATGCTTGTTTCTTCTCCCTGTGCATGTTTTTATAAAGAACAGAGGGAATGCAGTCTACAAGTTCTAAAACTGAAAGATAATAACCAGAAAGGTAGTTCCCTAACTACAGTGAATACTTGCTTTAGTAAGTATCAAAAGGTGTAACTTTACTGGCTTATTTTTCTTATGTAGTCAGAACATTTAAGGCAGTTTTATTTCATGAAAGTATTTGTAAACACTTATCAAACTGCAATTTCTAGGACCCCTTCAAATCCACTTCATCTCTCTGGGTCTTTATATATGTGAACGCTGATATTTGAGGCTCATATTTGCAGGTGCAGATGCAATTTTTTTTTTAATCTGCACACGGCTCTACCAATTTCCATCTAATTGATAGCTCGACAAATCATGATATAGTGCAGTGGTTCCCAAACTTTTCGGCATTACATCCCCCTTCTGATTTTTGAAAAAACCCTGCCCCCCCCAAAAAAGGCAGCAAAACTTGAGGAAAAAAAAGGAACTGAGCAGGGCAGCAAAACTTGATGTGGGGGAGGCTGGGTTGCCTTGTGCCCCCCCTGGAATTTCGCATGCCCCCTCCAGGGGGCATGCCCCCCAGTTTGGGAACCCATGCTAGTGCATCTGCCTAGCTAGCACAATATAACAAGTTATACCATCCATGAGAATCAGCATCTTTCGGAAGCTAACTGAAAGGTACATATGCAAAATAAGATCTGCATCAGTGACTTTAAAAAAGTCAAGGTTTCCCATTTGCTGATTTAGGTCTAACGTTTTAAGTTAATCTAGCCTGGCTTGTAGGTCTCCGTTTATATTTTGAGACAATGCGACTTGTCAGGAATGCTGACCAAAAAACCTTTGAGTGAGGTGGAATTTTCAGCTCTGAAATCCTTTGACTAGTTGATTGTGTGAGCTTACTATGGATGCAAAATCCCATTTAACGGGTTAAATATTGTTTAATTTTAACCCCCACCTACCACTGGGCCAGACAACCCATAGGCAGGAGCTGCTCTGGCTTCTCAACCAGATCAGCCCTTCCCCACTGGGCACCCAGGCCTGTCATGGGGATGGAGCAGCCCCCCTGCCTGCAGCAGGCAGGGGGCTGCTCCAGCCCCACCCCAGTTAAACATGCACTCTACCTAGGCAAGGGTGTTTACATTATCAGTTTTGTTATAGCTACAGCAAATTCCGAACAAGTTCATGGAAAGGGATTGCATTCGTAACATCCTGTCCCAGAAGAGCAGAGGAAATGGAGGAAGATTCCTTACATCCTGGTCATACTCTAGGAAAACGTGGAAGTTGCGATCTTTGCTGAGCACAGGATGAGAAGAAAGTCGCTGAAGGAAAACTTCATGTGAGGACACGGTCTTCTTAAAGACAGCAAGGTATTCCCTGGAAGATAAGGGAAGAGGTATAGTCTGTACTACTACTTCACTGCACAAAATTCATTTAATGCTTAAGCTCAGTGCCTCTGAACCACCATTTCTCTTGGCACATGGCCACTTCCAATATATTTTAGTAGTCAGACTGGAATGGCCAAGAGACTTAAGAGGCTAAAGAGACTATGCAAATGGGACAATCGTATGGACCCATCTTTTGAACTGCACAGAGCTCGTCAGGATGAGGAAGGTACTACGGTTGTTAGGCATTTAAGTAGTAAATACTTTAAACACTTCCCCACCCCCAAGGCACTCCATCCTCTGAGGAATGCTGCCATGAGGATTCCCATAGGAGCCAGGGCAGCGCAGCAGCTGCGGTTGGGCACCCTGCACCCCCCCACGGCAGTGGGAGTCGCGGGGAAACGGAGCAAATGCACCCTCAGTTTGACAGGACTCCCGGACCAGATTGTGCAACTGCTCAGCTGGGGATGGCCAATGGGCCATGAGTTTGAGATCCCTGTCCACCACTTTCTAGCTACAGATGTGGTTAAAAAAGGGACATGGTGCCGATACCCTTCAAATTAGAGTTAATTGGGCTCGTGCTACCATGCAAGTAGATCCTCCAATCAAGAGGCAGACCCGCCTTCGGTGTGTGTGTGTGCACACAACTACCCACGCTTACGCTTCTAGTTCTTGCTTCATCTTTGCAAATTCCTCTTTTGTCATAGACACTTCTCCTTCCCCGAGTTTCTGCATCTTCTCTCTGGGACCATCGAAGTCAGGCTTTGCAGGTGCTGGAGGGATCTAATCAATACAAGAGACCGTTCCAAATGCCTACCACTCTGTTGTGAAGGCTGCTGGCATTTCCATAGTTACCTCAAGCCAACGCACTGCTGCTCTTTTATCCCAGGTTGCATGAAGTGTAGTGTTTGTGGAAATAATAGAGCTTTGTCTGAAGTGCCCACAAACCCTTGCCATTATGTGGAGTCATGGGCCTGCATTTCTATACTGCTTCTTGGCCTAGTTTATCCCATGACCAGCACGGCTCTCAAACCACACTGATGGAGGCTCTCCAGATGCTAGCAGCATTCCCTGGAAGCTGGGCACTTGTGCAGCTGCTCAGGAGAGATTCAAATACCGCCTAGTGATTAGCAGAGCGCCAACAGTTAGGTTTGTTTCCCCGGGGCATGTACAAATGTGCAACACCAGGTGTACACAAAAATATTCTTCATATGGATGCGGAAAAAAGACAAGTAACAGCCAATGTCCCTCAGCACTCAACTCAGAGGTGCTAATCCTTGGAAGTCCTGGGAGCAAGGTACTCAACAGGTACCTTCTTCAGAAGGGCTTCTCTGGGGGTAAGGATTGATACCAACGTGGGGGCAAATCCACTCTGCAGTAGCTGCAGGACTCCCATCTGCTGAGCGTACAGGAGTAGAGGGCCCCCATGTTAGTCAGACAGTTCATGGAAAATAAGAGCAAAACTAAGTTAGTCCCATTTAATCTACAGTGTCAAGATCCAAGAGAGGAAATACTGGTGATGTGAGCTTTAGGCTATGTCTACACAGCAGTGTTATTTCAGAATAACTGATGTTATTCCGAAATAACACTGTTGAAATAACTGCTTGTAGCGTAGATGTGGACTACGTCAAAATAACATGCATGAGGAGAAAGAGAAGTTGGAGGAAGAACACTTTTCCTTCTACTTCATGCTGTTTAGACAGTGCCGAAAGCCAAAATAAGCTATTTCGACTTAAGCAATTGACATAGCTGAAGTTGCATAGCTTATTTTGGCTTTAGCCCTGCTGTGTAGACATGCCCTTAGTGTCCTCACTAGCTTCCAAGATAATGTGGCTGTGCTAAGAATAATTCCCCCCCCCACTCTAAAATTCAGTCTTAAACAGCTACACAAACACTTACAATAAGTCCCGCATACTCTTCAGTTTCAGTAAGCGTATCATGTAGCCACACAAAGTCTTCATGTTGCCTCGTAACTGAAAACTCTGGGCTTTGAAAAGTTGGCAGCGTGGTCTGGAAGAGAGGAGATCACGTGGTAAGGTTTTGTACACATGTGCTTTTAGGAGCAGTTTTGTTCATGGCTTTCTATAGCTGGCCCATTTGAAAAGCAAAGGCCACACTCACGGCCTTTTCTAGTGTGGGCTGCCCCAGGAGGAGCCTTCATTGTTTACCTCTTTAGCAGTGAAAGGCTATTTTGTAGTAACAAGATACTCAAGTGTACCATACCATGGAAGCCAACCAGAATTCTTAGCATTGATACCTAGCTCTTACAGTGCTTTCAGCAGAACATGTTACGTTTTTTGGAGAAGGCAGGAATTCTCTCTATTTTACGGACAGGGGAACAGAGGCACAGAGAGGTTAATTTCCCTCTATTGCTGCTAAGCAAAGTTAAGAGGAGCATTACTGGTCTGAAGAGTCAGAACAATCCTACATTTGGACAGTTCTCCCCCTCCCTAAGGTATGAAAGCATAAACAGGCAAGACAAAGAAGAATTTGAAGAGTAGGCAGTAAAAGGAAAAAAAATGTTTTTGTTTTTAAGTACAACAGAAGCAGGATGCTTGCCAAACCATCAGTAGGTCCACTGGATGATTGAGGTACTAAAGCAGAGCTCAAGGAAGGCAAGACTCCTGTGGAGAAGCTAAATTAATTTTTTCAATCTGTCTGCCCTGCAAAAAGGATGTGAGGGAGATTGGCTCAGGTGTAGCCTTTTTGTGAAAAGCGTGAGGACCTCTCAGATGGAGGTGTCACTAGGAGGTGGTTTTGGAATGAACTGATACCAAGTCACAGGACCAGACAGGATTCACCCAACAGTTCTGAAGCAACTCAACAAGTGAAGTTATAGAACTACCACCTGTGCTACACAATCTGCTGATTAAAAAAGTTACTGTTGTATTAGCTATCCTCCAGTCTTCTGTATAGAAGCTTATTTAATGAGGCTCCAGAGGAGATCCTGGCAATTACAGGCCAATAAGCCTAATTTCAGTACCAGGCAAATTGGTTGAAATGATAATCCAGGACAGAATTAGCGCTACAAACTGAACACAACTTGTGAGAAAGTTAACGTGGCTTTTGTAAAGGGGAAGGCCTTGCCAATCTACTAAAATTCTTGCAGGGAGCAAGGGGAAGGAAAAGATGGTCCAGTAGACACAGTGTACTTGGATTTTCAGAATGCTTTTGATGAGGTTCCAAACCGAAGGCTCTTAAAGTAGGCTGTCATGGGACAAGAGGGGAAGGTCCTCTTATGGATTAGTAACTAGCTAAGAGATAGGAAACAAAAAAAGATTTTAGAACAGAGGTAAATACCAAGATTCACCAAAGCTTTGTATTGGGACCAGTACTATTTAATATTCATTAGTGACCTGGAAAAAGGGGTAAACAATGGGATGGCAAAGTTCGCTGACAAACACAAAACTACAAGATAATGAAATCCAAAGCAGATTGCAAAGAGTTAAAGGGCTTTCAAAGCAATGACTAAGCAAAGTGGCAGATTAAACTCAGTCTTGATAAACACAAAGTAATGCACAATGGAAAACGATCCCAGCTACACACACGGAGGGGGTCTAAAATTAGCAGATATCACTCAAAAAAGATCTTGCAGTCATTGCATGCAAAGAACTAGCCACATCAGCTCAATATGCAGTGGCACTCAAGAGCTAAGAGAATGTTAGGAACTACTAAAAAAGGATTGATAAGAAATAGGCTATTATAAATGCATGGCATGCCTTGACTACTTTATGCAGTTCTGGTCACCCGATCTCAGAAGAGATATTAGAATTGGAGAAGGCTCAGAGAAAGGCAATCAAAATGTTTAATGGTATACAACTGCTTCTGTATGAAGTGAATAGTAACACTGGAACTTCTCAGCTTGGAGAAGAGATGACTAAGGGAAGATAACAGAGGTCTATGAAACCATGAAGGGTATGGAGAAAGTTCATAAGGAAGTATTATTTACCCCTTCAACCTGTGGAAATCATTGCCAGGGGATGTGGTGAAGACCAAAAGCACAATTTTACTTAAAAAAAAAAAACAAAAAAAAAAACACACACACACCACGAACTACATAAGTTCATAGAGGACAGATCCATCAATGCCTAGTAACCAAAACGGCCAGGGACACATTCCCCACACTCATTGTGTCCCTAAGTCTGACTGCCAGAAGCGGGGAGTGAACAACTGCTGGGATGTGAATATATAATCATAAATGGTTAACCAATAAGCCTGGTCTTATCAATTAATATTCATGGTTACATGCAGGCTCCCAACCCGCTCCTGGGGAGCTAGCTTCAGGTGCACGAACTACTGAAAAACCTCAGTTATACTATTACCCACACGAATATCCCTAGACAGGCATAGATCAGAGAATGATCAGAACAAGGCAGTTATTGAGTGAAGCACCTGGCACTAGCCACTGTTGAAGACGGGATATTTGGCTAGATGGACCTTTATGTGAAAGCCTAAAAACTGGGAATTAGTGGTGTAGGGCCGTTTGGAAACGGTGTAAGTTTCCTACTTGCCTCATTTAAGTGGATTTTAAGGCTGTATGTGTGTATAGGGAACTTCCCCTTTCACCATGAACTTACCTTAGTATGTACAGTGAACTTTACTTTGTCTTTTTCACTCAGAGCATCTGGGATGTCAATTTGTAGGGAAGGATCAATATTCAGATCCACAGACACAGCCCTCATCTGAAACACAAAATTGAAGGCAAGATTAATGTAGTCTATTGCGACTTGACAATATACGTTAATGGATAGGGACAGTGCAGAACTAGGGATGTTAAATTTAGTTTAATCAACTAGTTAAGTGGGGGAGCCACAGCAGGGTTAGCCATTAAAAGGCTAAAGAACAGGAAGAGGGACCCCGCATGAGCCAGGAATCATCTGTCCCGGCTCATGCTGGGGCTCCCCCTGCTGCACCTCTGATTTTTAAGTGTATTAAGAGCCTTAAAAAACAGAGATGCAGCATCTGGGACTGGGCACGAACTGGGAATCGGCTGATTCCTGGCTCACGCCTGGTCCCCACTACACCTTGCCTCCCCTGCAGAGACAATGCTGGGGGAACTGGCTTTTAAGCCAGCTTCTCCCCAGAACTGGCTCCTGTTCTCCCCCACCTTGCTGCTTCTAAGCTTTTGCTTATCAGATAGCTGACTACATCCCCATACACAACCAGAAATTAATACCTTGAAAAAAGATTCAAATCTTGACAGATGTGTCATTGCCGTACCTGACTGTACACTATCTGAAGAGAGGCACAAGAAATACAAATCTTCCCCATTTCCCCCCCCCCACACACACACACACACCACAAGAAGCTTCTGAACTTGAAGTTTAAACAATCTGTAGCTTTAGAGAGGCCTTAAAGGTACCCACAACATTTTCAGAAGAGTTTGTGCCTTTTATACGTTAAAAGATGCAATGTTTACCCATTTGTTTTATGACACACAAAAGTCTGGTCTCCCCAATTTTGTTGGAGGTTTCAGGACAGGGGCCCACACCAGAATTTACAAACATCTGCACTTTGAAGTTAAAGTTAGGCGTGTTGGAAGTTTAGAACGTCATCCTTTCTTCCAATGGTCAACCACCAGTTTTAAAGATGCATTTACAAAAAGAATTAATTTAAGTTAGACATCTACCATTGCTCAGCTTCCACTCTTAGCATGTCAGTTGGCTACTTTTCTGGTGTTGATAGAGCCTGTAATCAAAAGCAAGCTAAAGAAACAACCTCAAGGGTCTTTTCAGGCCCAAATCCAATTATACTTTTGAGCTCTGCAAAAGCGACAAGGAGTCCTGTGGCACCTTATAGACTAACTGAAGTGTAGGAGCATAAGCTTTCGTGGGCAAAGACCCACTTCGTCAGATGCATGCATCTGACGAAGTGGGTCTTTGCCCACGAAAGCTTATGCTCCTACACTTCAGTTAGTCTATAAGGTGCCACAGGACTCCTCGTCGCTTTTGCAGATTCAGACTAACACGGCTACCCCTCTGATACTTTTGAGCTCTGTTTTTGAATAAGTGGGGTAGTCAAAACTTGGCTTTGGGAGATCCCAAGTTAAAGTTCCATTGAAAAGGCAGGTGCTGGGGGACAGGAGTCAGTCAATTTTAACTCTGCCCCATACCAGCACACGTCTCCATCCTGCAGCTATCTACACAACCCGTGTTCCTTTTGATCAAAACCTCTTTAAAATTTTAGTTGAAGTTGAGCTCATGTGTGCACATCTTGCATTTGGAGAAGCCCAATATCTGTACCATTTACCACAAGCTATCCTAAGTCTGGAGCACAGAGTCCGTCTCTTCTCACCCTCTTGTACCACAGAAGTGCCCCCTTGGCTGCCCAGTCTCAGACATCCTGTCCATAGAGCTATTCGCCTCACCACTACTTTACCCCAAGTCCTTTTCCGCCAGAGGATGCCATAAGCTTTGTTTTAAAAGGTATTCGTTGCCAGACTTAAATATCTGCTTCCCTCCATTCTGCCTTATTTCCCCTGCCCGTTCCATAAGTTTTTTAAGGTGTAAAATCTTCAGGGATGCCCCTGCAGCACGGTCACCACATCTGGCATACTTCCCATCCCACCACTCAAAACCTAGAAAGCACTTAACAGTGCCACTGCAGAGTATGGTTCCAGTTAATAGGTAACTACTGCTACCACCATTCGATCCGGACATAGCGCACCTCTCCAAGGAGACTGATGTTTCTAGGCCAAACTGTGTGGAACCACGGAGAGCCAATTACACAAGTTGCTCCAATAAGACCGTGGCCTCCCACATCTCAGGACCGAGATGTATGCCATGAACCCTCCTTAACTGATTCCAAGTAGTTGTGTTCTGGAAAGGTCTCTTCGCTTTGCAGTGATTAGTGTCATACCATCAAGAGCAGAGCTTGAGGCCTTAAACACGATCCTTACACAACCTTAAAGATACAGTTGGAGCATTAGGGCTAGGAGCAAGGTTCACAGAGGGCCAGCCAGGAGATGGAAGAAGTCTTCTGGCACCCTGATTTGAGCTTGCCTTCCACAACACCCAGCTCTGATGCAGCTAGTTCCATCACAGATTGTAGCAAGTATATTCAAAGCTTCCCCTTACGGCAGGGGTGGGCAATCATTTTTGGCCAGGTGCCACTTCAAAAATGTTTCAAGTGCCCCCAGGGCTGCCCAGAAGGGGTGGGGCCAAGATGCTTCTGGGCTGCCCCACCCACAGACCATGATTGGTCTGGGGTGGGGAGCCCCCTTGCTCCCCTTAGGCACCCACACCGCTTCCTTCTGCTGCGCCCTGCCACATGCTCCTCGATAGGTGGGGGTAGGGCAGGAGGCGGCTTCAGGCACTCCTCGCCCCAGGCCAATCTGGGCCAGGAGGGAGTGCGCAAAGCCACTTCAAAAAGCGACATGCTCCTCACAGGGCAGGAGGCGGCTTTGTGCACTCGCCCCTCCCCCAGGCCAATCCGGGTTTGGGGGCAGGGGAGCACATGACCTCTCCTCCTGCCCTGCGAGGCGCGTGTAGCACTTGGAGGGGCCATGCGCTCCTCACAGGGCGGGAGGAAGTTCTGCATGCTCCTCTCGAGCCAGCTCAACCTGCTTGGCAGGCTGGATCCAGCCCAGAGGCCCTTTGGCCCACCCCTGCCTTACAGTGAAATACGGCTGATTAAATGCACTTTGGGTGCCAAAAGGAGTGGACAAAGGAAGAGGCTGTCCAGGATCCCTCTGCTTCTTCCCAACTTAGGGAAACCTTTCATATATTTTAAATTGCCCTCTCCTTCCTACTACACATTCAGACCTTCCTGTCTACTCTAAAAGAGGCCTGAGATCTTAGCCCGATCTACGTAAATGATCACTTACAGGAAATAGAGTCAAGATCCTTCAAACCTTTCAGTTAAGGGATAAGAGTGCTCCAAGATGCATTTTGAATCAGAGAATCAGCAGGTAGGGGACAGGTTTTACCTCCCAGAGGTTTTACAATTCAGGACTTTCCTAGTTAAGTCTCAGGCCTGTACCATGCATCTTATAGCAGCAAAGGGAGGAACAAGCTAGTTTCTCCTCCTTTCCAAGGACACATCCATTTCCATGTAACCATTAGCACCAAGCACCATTTCAGTTGAGCATGTGCCAGTTTGCTAAGCAGCAGAATAGCCTACTCAGCTGGCAGAGCAGTGGGCTGTACAGGCTAGATTCCTATATTCTCAGACAGACGTTCTTTGAAAGGACAAAGCTCAAGTTTTCCCACTCAGACAGATTTAACCTCAGTTGCCCCTCACACACCATGTCAAATAGTGACAGAGGGGCCAGACTACTGAACTATTTTCCCCTCCCTTCTCAACCCCACGCACTTTAAGGCTTCCTTCGATAAGAGGTGTGGTGATCTCAATTGAGAGGTCTGAGAGTACCGGTGTTACTCCATCTGCAAAACTGAGGAGTCCTTTTGCACCTTAACTCCTAAGATTTGGGCATAAAGTTTTGTGGGTTAAAAAACCACTTTGCTTTTGTAGGTCTCTAAATTTGAGCATCAGCTTTGGTGGTTTTTTTACCCACAAAAGCTGCTGCCTAAATTTAGAGACATACAAAAGCAAATGTCCTGCTGCTTAGCCTGGTTCACCAACTTAGGCTCAGCAAGCAGGTCATGTGAGTGTTCTCTGCCAAGACAACAGGAATAATGCAGGTTGGAGGCCTAGAGATCATGAGGGAAAAGCACCTGCTGGCAGATAGGACAAGTGTAATTAGCCAACTAATCACACGTAGGTCAGCAACATCTCAGTGCCTCATCCTAACCATATTTGGGTCCCCACTAGGGTTGCCAGCTGTCTAGTCACATGAACAACCCTTGCCCTGCCCGTCACCCCCCCCCACCCCCACTTCTCCTAGGCCCCACTGCACTCACTCCAACACCATCCCCAGTGTTAGCTCTCCCCATCCTTCACTTTCATGGGGTTGACGGGCAGATAGGGTGCAGAATCTGGGCTGGGACTGAGGAATTTGAGGTGAGGCATGGAGATCTGGGCTGAACCTGGGTTGGGGTGTTGAGGTGCAGGAGGGGTGTTGGGGTGCAAGCTCTGGAGGGAATTGGGAGCAGGTGAAGGCACAGGGCTGGTGCGGAGCGCTGATTCTGGGAGGGGCTCAGGGACTGGGGGTTGGAGTGCAGAAGGTGGGGATGGGTACATGCTCCAGACAGGTGGTGCTTCCCTCACCAGTTACCACCACCCCTACAGCTCCCATTGGCTGTAGTTCCCAGCCAATGGATGGTGCAGAATTAGCATTTGAAGCAGGACAGTGCACTGAGACCCACCCATCCAGTGACCACAGCCGCTTTCACTAGACATAGCAGCCTACAGTCTCCCAGATAGGATACACTAGCCTCCAGGAGAGGAGTGCGATTCCAAAAGACTCTCCCGTAAACCCTGGAGGGCTGGCAAATCTAGTCGCTGCTGTAATATGGACTGAGAGCACCTGGCCTCTGAGTTTGTAGTCTCCTTAGAAATTGTAAGAGAAGTACTCCCACTTTTAGACCTCAGAAAACCATGCCAGAGAGGTTAAGGGATTTATCCAATGACCTACCACAGGTAGTGTGGCGGAGCCAGTAATTCAACCCAGCTACTCAGCCACAAGGCTATCCTCCTTTGAAAGGAAGGCTTCTGAATAGAGCCGAGAACGAAAGCAACGCTCCAACACTGGCGCAGTTTGTAGTGGATGCTCTTGACTTTT